GGAGTCCATGAACTAATGTACCAGAACTGGCGGGAAATGTCTCTAGACAGGAGCCTCAAGCTCCAGGGAAGGTACAACAGTCCCATTACCAAGAAGCAAACAATAGAAGGAAAAACCTATGGTGACATCATTTCAAATGAGGACAGATATTACCCTGTTGTTACCAACTGCTGCAGTTGAGGGAGCAGGACTCAATGGTAAAATTAAAGGTAAATTCCTGAAATGAGGAGCTTCCTGGCTTCTGAGTATACCATCTCCCAACTCAGTAAATGTGTTCCATTTCTAAAAGATTTCCCAGCCTCAGCTTGCACTCGTCCAGGAAGAGTAGTTGGCATACCAAGGCTGCCTGTTCTACTGCAAAATTGAGATGATTCAGTTCTCCACTGAGTCAAAATCTGCTTTCCAGTGACTTCCTGACCGTGGTCTTACTTCAGCTCTCCAGGGCCTCACACAATCACTGTAATCACAGTTCCTTATGCCAACTTTTCAGATATTTGAAAAGACTCTGTTCATGTTCCCCATATTCACTTTTTGTTGAGGTCATGAGGTAAATGGAACATTATAACTTAGAGAAAAAAATATATATATAAAACAGTTCCTGAGAACTAATAGAGGAGACAGTAAGGTAGGTAGAAAGCAAGGTAAGCAGAACTGTGGTACGTATTTGGAAAATAAATGTCTTTTCGATGCCTCCTGGACTACTTTGTCCTAAGGGCATATTTCAGTAAAATGAAAGTAGTAAAAAAGGCAGGAAAGAGAAAGAGGACAGAGAACTGATACAGGAATGAGGGTAGGGTGGGAGCACAGAATCTGCCTTTTGCCTCCTCACTCATAAATACCTCCAGCTGTAAATACAATGCTAGAGACGGCCAGGGTGCTCATTTCTTTTGGTCCAGAGAACTGAGGCTCCCAAACTGCATCTTTTCATAGCAGGGATCTGAGACAGTGACTTCTGAATCCTGTTATACCTATAACTTGCAATGTAATCTTAGATAAGCATTTCTCCTTTCTGAGCTTCACTTTCCCTGAGATTAGACTCAACTTCTAAGGGCCCTTCTAGCTCAAATATCTTGTGATATTCATCACTATCATTATATACAACATGAAGCTACTTTTTAGATTTATATTTCAAACTGCAGACAGGATCTGAAAATAATCAAAAATGTAAGAGATCATCTTTACCCTTAACCCCTAAAAGTAAACCTGAGATTGGAGAAAATGTTCTTAGAAGGTAATTTGTTTCTAATAATAATACTAATAATAGTAACTGAGACAATGATAATAGCAGCTTGAAGTAGCACTCTGAATATTCCCTCCAATTTATCCCTGGAAACAGCCTTGTAAAGGAGCCACTTTTGGGAGGATATGTAGAACAGCAGACATATTAGAAATTGAGGGTGAGATCCAGTGTATTCACTATGTTTCAGGCACTATTCAAATATCTTAGACATAGCAATGAGAGAGATAAAGTTTCTATCTTCATGGAATTTGCATTCCAATGAGGGAAGACTGATAAGAAAGCAGATAAACAAGATAATCATGATATCTCATCATGACATGTCTCATCATGACAAGTGCTATGAAGAAAATTCAATAGATTGAAGTGATAAAAACAAAGAGACTACAGTGTGTGCAGTTCATTAGATTGGATGAGCTAGGCCTCTCTGGGAAGGTGATATTTGGGTTGAGACCTAAATGATGAGAAGGAATCAACCAAGTAAAAGTCAGGGATGGGGAGAGGAATACCAGGCAGAGGGAAATGCAAGTGTAAAGGCCATGAGATAGCAACAAGTGTGGGGTGTTCAAGAAACAGAAAGAGGGCCAGTATAGGAACAGAATGTAATAAGCAAGGAGAAAAGTGGTTTGAGCTAGTTCTCATTTTCGAAGAGTAAAAACGATCACAAAAATAAGCCCTTATCAGTATAGAGCATCTTACAATCCTCTAAGTGCTTTCTTAATCATTACTTCAACTTTTGGATTCCAGGAGCAAAGAGTTGAACTCGTAACAGCAACTTTCCCAGGTACATAAATGTATCCCCATTTTACTGACTAGACAAGTGAGACTCGAAAATATGAAAGTGACATGTTCTTGTTCACACAGTCAGTATTTACTGAAATACAGAATCGTTTCATTTTGTTTTGCTCTGTTTTGTCTTCTGGCCCTATTTTTTTTTTCACTGTAAACTGCTCCATGTCTCTACTCAGCTTCTTGTAATGTTTCACATTTTCCCCCCTAAGCCTGGCAAACTAACAGGCAATTAGGGCTGGGAATTTGAAGAACTAAGCAAGGCATAAAGCACAGCCATACATTTCTACATTGACTGAGTACACTTTTTGTGTATGCTAGGGCATCCGACCCCTATTGGTCTCATTGGTCCTTAAATTGCAGGTAGGACACTGACTACAAAGGCAGATAATGGAAATTGGCTGAAAAAAAATGTGATTATAGATTCAGTCAGCATCCAGTGATGCTGTCTGAAGAAGGCAGTGTGCTTGGCAGGGAGCCTCTCTCATCAAAATAATATAATTTCAAATAACTTTAAAGATATAATTCATATTCTTTGTACAAGAAATCACCAAACAGCCATCTACCCATCATCTTCCCTTAGCTAGTGAATTAAAATTTAAACGTTATTTTTTTTATGTTGCTGTATTTTGAAAAGTCAGTGCTTACCAAATATATTGGGAACATTCTCCCTCGTTGTGTTACTGCAGATCCACTCTTTGTTTAATAAAAAGGACATTAGTCTTCACTGTCAAGAAACCAAGGATTTTGGTTCCCTTTCTGCTCCTCAATCCCTGTATAGGCTCAGACAAGTCACAGAGCATATTACAATGGATATAATAAACTCTGTCTGGCTTTTCTTGTAGGATGGATGTGAGGCTCAGATTTGTTTATGTATAGGGAAACATTGTTTGATGATAAGAATTGCTATTGTTGTGGATTCACACCATTGCTTAACATTAGTCTAATACTTTCATCCTCTCTCTCAGCTGCTCATCTCCCTGCCACGAACATTTCAGCTTTTGAATTCAGAAATTATTTTCTAAGTAATCATTGGGAGATGAGAGATGTTGATCATAGAGATGTCTCTGCCATGAAACGAGTTCAACTCTTTGCTCCTGGAATCCAAATGAAGGACAATAAAGGAAGGATGACTGATCCATCCTTCCCATTCCCATTTACCTCAGAGAACCAGTCCTGAATATAACCATTAGCCTTTTGAAATCAGTGTGGTCTCTGGAGCAGCTGACCCACATTACTTGGGGGTGTATTATAAATGCAAAACTTTTGGCTCCACTACAAACTTGCTGAATCAGAATCTGCATTTTAACATGATCCTCAGGTGATTAATAAGTACATAAAAGTTGAAAAGCACTGCAATATCTTACAAGTCCAAATGTGGCACCCATGGTTTTTTAAATGCTTCTTTTAATTGGAATAAAGGGAAGCCAACTAGCCTTGCAAATCAACGAGCCCACTATATTTCAAACTTAGCCATAAATTGTAATTACCTAGCTAGCTTTAACTAATACTGATGTTTGAGTCCTACCTCCAAAAAGTTTTATATAATTAGTCTTTTGTGGGTCTAGGTATTGAGATTTTCAAAAGTTCCTCAAACAATTCTTTTCTACTGTGTAGCAAAGTTTGAGAATCATTGCACTGTTTAAAAACCATTGTCTAAAAGTGTCCCATGCAGGCATAAAAATACTTGCTTTAGTTGTAATAAATCGTTTTTGTTAAAATGAAGAGAAATTATTTCAGAATCATTAAGAGTAGAAAATGAATGGATAGAAAATAGGAACTAATAAAGATCAGAGGGGAAATAAATAAAATAGAGTCTAATAAAACAATACAAAAGATAAATGAAACCAAGAGCTGGTTCTTTGAAAAGATAACCAAAATTGATAAACCTGTAACCACACTCATCAAGAAAAAAAGAAAGACAATCCAAATAAATAAAATCAGAAATGAAAAAGAAGTGACAACTAGCATCATCAAACTACAAAGGCTTATAGAAAATACTGAGAATAATTATGTGCCAACAAATTGGACAATTTGGATGAAATGGATACGTTCTTAGAAACGTACAATCTTCCAATATTGAGTCAAGAGGAAAACGAAAATCTGAATCAACTGATTGCTACAAATGAAATTGAATCAATAATCAAAAAACTTCCAACAAACAAAAATGCTGGACCAGATGGCTTCAAAGGTGAATTTTACCAAACATTCAAAGAAAATTAGCACCTATCCTTCTCAAATTATTCCAAAAATTCAAAAGGAAAGAAGGCTTCCAATCTCATACCATGAGTCCACTATAATCCTTATTCCAAAACCAAAGACATTACAGACAAATAAAATTGTAAGTTGATATTCCCAGTGAATATAGATACAAACTTACTCAAAAAATATTAGCAAATTGATTCAGCAAGACATTAAAAAGCTCATACATCATGATCATGTGGGAAGCAAGGTTGTTCAATATCCACAAATCAATTAATGTGATACACCATATAAAAATGAAA